GTCCCCCCTTTTTCATCTGCCTCTGGTCTTGGGGGTCGGGTCTCTGCTGCTTCACAGTTACTATTAAATGTTCTATTAGAGAAGCCTTATACACTTATGCATGCTCACAACCACACACAAATAGAAGCAGGGATGCTTATGTAGGCTTTATATGTAGATATATAGATATGTATATGAATGTATATTCATGTGTATGTATGTATGTATATAGGCGTAGGTATGGGCATATATATTTATAGAAACTTACTGCAAAGCCATGGATGTTTTAAGTTCTTTATACATATGTATTTTGTTGCTGTGTTTTGTCATGTTCTTTGCAGGTGAACAGACAGTGGCCGGGTATTTTGCCGTGTGCTCTCTTTATTTCTTATATTTTGGAGTCTTACTTTGTCTTTTCTTTCTTTCTATCCTATAAAAAAAAAAAAAAAAAAAAAACTACACTAGATAGTCACTAGAATAAATATTTCATAATAATGGTGTGGTGAGGATGGCTGTAAGGGGAGAAGGGAGGCCATCTATTAAAAAAAAAAAAAAAAAAACACGATACAGCAAGTCTGCGATAAATGCACCGCAAAGTAACGAATGACTACTGTATGTCAGTTTGGAGTGCATACAATAAAATTGTGCATATTTTCATAAGGAAACATTAACAATTGATTATAAATTAAATGTGCATTTTTTTTTTTTTTTTTTACTGAGATGTCAAATCCAACAAATATCTAAAGTTTCTGGTGAATTTAATGTTCTTTTACAGATTAAGAGAAAATCTAACCAAGATCTTAACTTTTGTCCTTTATATATTTAATAACATATGTTCAATATTATGGTATCATCTTTTTGGAAGGTACAGTTTTCCAAAGAAATTAGTGCAAATATTTGGTTAACTCATGAGATTTGAGCTTGCATAAGACTTCTGCCTGTTCACAGGGGCGGCTCCAGAAATTATTCAAAGAGGTGGCGCAGTGGTCAATCTAATGCTCATCTTGGGGTGGCACACCGAAACTTAAAGCCAGAACAGAGTTTCAAGAGTTTAGCTATGCAATACAGCAATACAGGAGTTGAGGAATCACCTTGTAATACAAAGGTCTACTTTAGTTTGAGAAAAGTTTAGTTATACTGTAGAATGAAAGTCAGAGAGTTTAATAGAGGTCATTTAACAATGTAACATTGTAATTGCTGCTAACACTTATCTTGTAGTATAGAAGTGAAGCCGGTGTGGCCCTGGAGCAGATTTGACTTTCATCTGGTTGTCAGGCTGATGTGAAGGTGTCACTGGACTGTGAATGCTGGAAACTAGCTGGAGACAAAATTATTGTTGCATAAATATTTCACTTAGAATCACCTTTGCACAAACTCCCAGCAGATGTTTGATCAGATTTTGATATAGATATAGATTTTGCATATTGAAAAAGAGAAGGTGAATCAATTTAAGAAAGTCTCAAAAAGGCAACCTGCCTTTGTTTCTTTAGCTGACAGAGAAAGTTTGTTTGGCAAATTTTTCTAATTCTTTTTTTGAAGCTGCATTTAACAACAATTATGACAAAATAGCACCATTTGTCACAGAGGCCAGCTCAGGGCTTAATGTGTAAACTGATCGATGCTTGAACACAAATAGTGGGTGGGCTGGTGTGTGTGTGTGTGGGAAGTGGGGAAAGTGGAGGGAGCTTGCGGGTCCTCCTCCCCCTTAAATTTTTTAATAAAGTAGTTGCTATTTCCGGCATTTTGGTGTAGCCTATTTTAATGAATTGTTAAACATCTACGTTTACCTACATTTGTAAACACTTAATCCAATGACTATTTCAGAGAGCAACAACAAGTTGTGTGAATAAAGCAGGTCTGATTTTGTCAAGCATCCTATCCCCCCACCCCCAAACTTCTTGTTTCTGAGTCAAACTTTCCGCTGATTTCATTCCTGCGGGTTTTTGCTCCCACTGCTCCCATCTCAATTACGACTGCCACAGAATGAACAATGTCTCCTCTCATTGTATTTTTAATAAATAATCAAAATAAAAATGCACAATCACTTTGGACTTTTTGCAATATTTTAAAAAATGTTTCTAAACTTGAAACACTCTAAAAGAGCACATCATGTCATGGTCTCCGCTCTCTGCCACTGGCTGCTCTCAGTCACCTGACAGCACTCTAGGCCACACCCACTTCTCCGCTGCAGAGCGGAGATCATGACACGGTGCAGGAGGAAGCTTCTCCCTGCACCTGTGAGCTGCAGACAGGTGCAGCAGGTGCTAAATAATTTAAAATAATTTATTTAAAATAAAAAATCCATGCCGATCGTGTGGCTCATCCATGATTTACCTTTTATTTATACAGGCAGTCTCATTGAGCCACAAGAACTCATTTTCAAGACAGGCCTGTCTTTGGGAGCAGATGGTGGGGTTAAGTGCCTTGCTCAGGGGCTCAGAATGTGGCAAATGAGGGTGGAGGCAGGTGTGGGTGTTTCACCTTTTCCACCCACATTTTAATGTTGACGGTACTGGGAGTTGAACCTGCAACTTTCAAATCACAGGCCCATCTTCTCTAACCTCTGCGCCACCACTCCATATCAATTAGTCAGCCAATTGTGTGTCATGTCCAATCTTACTGTGAAAATAGGCGAAAGAGCGATTCAGTGAAAAAATAACCGCAAAGTGGCGACGGACTATTGTAAAATGAATCTCGTTGATAGTTGATGCGCAGAAAAAAAAATGGCGGTTGAAGAAGCGGTCAGTACAGTGGCATCCTTTTTTAAAATGAAAATCTTTATTAAAAGTAAAACATTATTTTATTTGATTCATTTATATGAAATCAGCTGAAATTAGCTAAAAAATGCTAAAAACATAACATAGCTGTAAAGGTAGAACAAGCTTCAATTAGCAAAAGAAAGCTTAAAGAACACATGTTTGCCCAATTAGGCTTAAAGAAGCAAAAATTAGCATAAAGAAGTGAATATTATCTGAAAACATATTAAATTTGTAAAAGAGTTGAAAGCTAAATAAAGCAGAAAGAAGCTAAAATTATCAGAAGGAAGTAGAGAGAGCCTATTTTTTGCTGAATTAGGCTGAAAAAAGTTTAAGAGTGCAAAAAATGTTGAATTAGCTGAAAAAGCTAAAAGCTAAATAGTAGCTGAACTAGCAGAAAACGTTTAAACTTGCATCAATAAGCTGAAAGGAGCATAAAAAGCTGGAATTGGGTAAAAGAAGTTAGAAGAAGCATAAAAATGTTGTAGTTAAAAATCTAAAAGGAGCACAAAAACTCAAAATCATTTTCTATGAAAAAATAAATGGCAGAAAAGGCTAAATATTTAAAAAAGCTAAAGTTGCACCATCACAAAAAGTCATAGCACCCGTCTCCTAAACGAGCTGAACATTTTGATAAATGATTTGTTGAAATAGCACAAAAATTGTGGAAATAGAAAGATGCTGAAAAAATGTATGGAAGACAAATGGATCACAATAGTGTGAATGCTTCATGAACATTCACACAATTAAGACAAGTAGAATTTTAAACAAGAAACCCAAAACACAGAAAATAAACACAACATTGAAAAAAAAAAAAAAAGTACCACAACAAACCAAAACTCCAGCTTTGAACAGTTTTGAGATATTTTAGACACTAATTGAAAATTCTCAGTCACTGTGAAATACATCCACTTAAGGACAGAAGTCAAAGCGAATGATAATAATAAAGATAATTCCACATGAGTCTAAATATATTTGTTGCTCACACTCATTATGTTGCAGTAAAAGTTGAGTGAACCTGGTGTGACCCTGCAGCAGATCCTCCTCACACTCATCCGGTTGTTACTGTAAAACACTCCATTTGGTCTGACGCCCCCTCCCCCTCCACTTTTTGCCCCCAGGGCTACATTAATGATCATTTCTAAGCTCTCAGCATGCTAGTTAATACCCCCCTTTAAAATTCATGTCATCGCATGAAGAGAAACAGCAGAAAGAGCTTTGGAAGAGCGGACTCCCAACAACCTGCACGATGGCACTGTGCACGGTCAAAGCGTGCGTTTCACGTCAAAGATCGCGAAATCAAGTCAATGAATGCTTGAAAAAAAAAATAATTTTTCATTCTTATCTTCATGAAACATTGCGTCTCGCCTCATGCACGGGCGCGTGCACACATACACAATGAAGAGAAAGGAGGGAGAAGGAGAATGAAAGACAAGAGAACGAGGGGGTGATAACAGCTTCAATAAATCATCCGGGCCAGTCGCTTCTCCCGGGGGACGCGGGATGGATTAAATTAAGCACTCCCTCCACCCATGTGTCTATCCATCCATCCCTCCATCTCTCTCCTCTCTCTCTCTCTCCCTCTGTTGCGCGCGCGCGCACTGCGCCGTATAAAAGCCAACAGCTGATCGCGAGACGGCACACTCACGAGAACAGCTCGGAGCTGCAGAGAGAGAGACGAGGGGAAGAGAGTGAAGAAGGAGGGATCCGGAAAGAGAGAGAGAGAGAGAGAGAGAGAGAGAGAAACGGAAGAGGGGATGCTGTTGCTCCACCCGGAGTCTTTTGGGAACCACCTGAGTCATTAACGGGAACTACGGACTATTCTTTGGTGAAGAGGACTTCATACAATTCACAACAAACAAAAAGAGCGGCCGAAATACTCAGAATTATTTGTTTTATTTTTATTTTGATCTTATTTGTCAGCATCCCTCCCTCCTCCTCCTCCTATTCCTCCTCCCCCACTCTTGTTTAAAGAGGCTCGAGCTCGCTGCGGGGTGTCCCCCCCCTCCTTTTTTCTTCTTCTTTTTATTGTTTTTAACTCATTTCCTCGCAGCTTCTGTCTTCCGTCTGTCCGCGAGCGCAGAAAGCACAAAGCGCTCCCCCCTCCCCCTCCCACCACCTCAGCGGTGGGAGCTGTCCGGTGCTGAAGTTGCATTTTCTCCTTCCCTTCTCCCTTTCCTCCTTTCTCCCTCGCCGCACAAGAACTGGACCGGGTCAGGCTGAGAGAGGCTCTGAAACCGGATCAGTTCTGAAGACAATCTTCCATCGGTTCTGGTTCTGTGGACCCAACGGCATACTGGACAAGCCTCCGTCTGCGTGTCGCTGCCATTGTGTGCTGTTGTGAGTGTGTGTGTGTGTGTGTGTGTGTGTGTGTGTGTGTGTGTGTGTCACCACCATGCCAAGGTCTTTCCTGGTGAAAAAGGTGAAATTGGATGATTTCTCCACCGGGGCGGATCTGGAGCACACCTACCGGCACCGGACAGACCTGAGCCTACGGCTGCATGACAAAGGTAGGTCAAACTGCCTGTACAGCACAGCACGGCACGGTACGGCTCAGCACGGAGGACTAACAGGTGTCTGAGAGACGAATCGATTTCACTGAGGAGGAGGAAGAGGAGGAGGAGGATGTCAGGAAGGAGAAGAAAAAAAAAACGTCTAGTCTGCATTTATGAGACTTGATGGGAATCCTGTTCTGTGATTGTTTTTAATTCTCAACAGTTTGTGAGACTTTTTACACAAAAAGACCAAAAGAATAATAGAAAGACTTTAATTAGTGTTTGACTTTCAGGCAGACTTCCCCCCTGACTTTTCAACCTGTGTTGCAGTGGAGGTCAGGCAGGCCAGAAAGAGTTTCACACAGTTCCCTCAGACTCTTGGAGACATTTCATTAAACCCACCGTCAAAAACCTGGGGCCGACTTTTCATCAGTAATCTGCCATTCACGTTGCCAGAGTGGCTCCTTGTGAGCCAGACTAACAAAGACTCTAACGGATGAGGAGTGATAGAGCAATCTGCATATGCATCTAGATTACCTCAGCTTTATAACTCGAACCCCACACCCTCTGGTCTTTGAAGTGAGAACGCTCCTCGGATGAGAAGCGAAACGTCTTCTGTTACAAAATAAAGTCCAGTTGTTTTTGTCTTGAACTTGTTTTGAATTTACCTCGTCCTGGATGACTGAGAATCTTCACCAGCCATCTCACCTATGCATCAAAAGTTGGTTCTCGGTTTGGTCACCTGAGCTCTATAATTTCCACTGTGGAGACAGAGATGTGCTTTTCTATCGTCCCACATTGATACCTGTAATTATAAATCTTCCCTGAGTCGACTGCAGCTCGTCTAAATGCTGCTGCTAAGCTTCTGACCAGAAGTGCTCCCATGTGATCTCTCTGCATCAGCTCCCTGCTCAGTGCAGAGCTCGGTTCAAGGTTCATGGTGATGCACCTTTGTGCATTTCAGAACATTTACAGCCTCATGTCACCACCTTGACCCTGATGGAAGACTGTTATCTGTTCCTAAATATGTTAGGGGGTGGGGGGTGGGAGTCCTTGCAGTCACTCTGGAACTCTTTTTACCCTTTCAGCTACAGATTTATGTCAAAACAGCTGAAGACTCATGTTTTTAGATTGATATTCAGCAGTAGCATCCTATTTTATCTAGCTTATTCCACTACTTTTACTTTTATTGCACATTCATTTTATCTTCACATCTTTTATGTCATTTTGATATCAAGCACCTTGTAGTTATTATTTAAAACGGCGCCAAGCAAATCAAACTCGCGCAATTCCATCCGACAGCAGGGAGTTATCACATTATTGCGCTCTCGATCTCTTATTCAAAGCGATCAGAATGCATCAGAGGACGGAAGCGCAGTCAGCACAGACTGTAAGAGCTCTTTGCTCCAAGGAAGTGCAAGAACTCAGACGTTTGACTTGGACAGTAAAGCACTGAAGACCTGCCACTCACAAGAACCAAAACCACTCGACAGAAAGAAAGCACTTCTTAAGACCCGATTTCATCCTCATCAAGGTGAATAGAAAGCAGTTGGACTCAGTTTTGTTTGAACAACAAACTCCTGGAACGAGAAGCTAAATGCCTTTAATAGTAATTATAATAATATAATTTTACTTGTGAGGATTTTGTTTGGCTACACCAGATATTTGTTCTGTTGTTAAAGTTGAGTTTCTTTTACAAAAGACTTTTATAAAAAGACCTAAATCACCAGCCTCCCAAAGGTTTTATTGACTTCTTCTTGTATTTTAAGGCACAGCGTGACTCTGTGCACACTGAGAGGATTGAGATGCACGGGATCCCTCGTCAAAGGTGACAGAAAATCATCTGACGAAACAAAGTGACACTGAATGTGCTCCATTACCAATAAATCCTTCAATATGCTCATAATACACTCCCACAGGTGCAGCACAAACAACCGAGCAGTTCTTTTAAGTAGCACGACATCGACAGGCTGCAAACACATTCCAGTCAGATGTTTTATACTCAGCTGACACTGCATGCTGCTGCTGTGCCCCCATCAGGTGTTTTTGGATTTCTGCAGTGTTCATGCATTTGTCTTTTACTTGCTTAAGTAGATTTGCTAAATGAACTTGTTTGCTCATAATATCTGCATTAATTTTAAACCATCAAATAAAATGTAAGCAGGATTTTAAAAGATACTGACTAGTCTATTTGTTGCATTTAGAATGTAAAGGTTTTAATTTTAAACAGCACTTTCCAGATATTATTCAGTGTTATCTTCAAATCCTCGGTGATTATTTTGCACAGCTGATCTAAAGCTGCACACTTACCCACTGGCAGCAACCTTGTGCATCACATTTGCTCTTCAGGACCGCTGCTGTGTTTCCACCTGCGTGTCACTGACCCACCGTTGCACACACACATGCGTATACCGTGCAGGTAAAGCAAATCACTTCTGATGTTGAGGTGAACCACCACTGCTAATATGAGCAGCTTTATGTAACGCAGTCACTTTTCATCTCCGTCCTTTTAACAACCATTTTAACAGCTTCTCTACCCTCAAAACACAACAGTACATGATTTTAGGGGACACATTTCCAACTGAATGAGCTGCTGTGCATGTATGTGTGTGTGAGGGCATTCATTTGGGACTGTGTAGTAGCGAGGAATGAGTGTTACCACATGTAAACACATATGTGTGCGCCACATGGGATTTGTTGCTTCTGCATGCCATTCTGATGCTCCTCACGAAATACAACAAGAAGAAAATCCTAATTGCACTTGTTCTTACTAAAAATACCTCATCCAGACCACCACACAGCACATTTCCCCTTTTATTTTTACTGTTTGTGTTTATTTCATAATCACTGGATAGTTCTGGAGGAGGCATTACGAGAGGCCCGTGTCCAAAATGACAATAATATGCTGAATCACTCGTGTTTTGGTGCATTTACGCTCAAGCAAGGGTTTCTGGAAGCATCGATGTTTTTCATTCAAATGACCAAACATACAAAATATACTTATTTTGTTGGGTGTGCTTGCATAATTTATATTTCACCTGAGTGTTTGTAAATCTAATACAAAAAAGAATAATGTAAGACCGTGCCTGCATGCATAATATATTGGTATGTCTAAATATTGCATTAACACATTTATGTGGAAATATTTTTACTATTAACCTATTATGTCTTGCGTGGAGAGCTTGTGACAGCATAACCCACCTTGAGTTTGTGTCATCACATTAGTTTGTTTTGTTAAACCAAGTAAAGTACACAGATGGAGGAAGAACAACAGTACACTGCACCAACGGCGGTCACCGTCAGCCTTGTGCAGCTCGGGATCTGTCCATGGTGCCCGTGCTTAGTTTCACACGCTAAATCATCTTTTCTTTGCCGAGTTCAGGGTCAGCATGTGAGCATTTATCTTTTATAGGGGAGGTGTTTTAACTGCATCTCCTGAGGGCTGAAGGGAGACATATGTTGTTAAATTAGCTCTGGACTAACACCCTCTCTGTACAATGCTACTGCACACAGGGGTGCAGAAAGGGAGACAGATCCTCAGTCTTTATAGAAATAAAATCAACAAATGGTTAAAACTTGCAAAGAGAAACAACTGTTGCTGTTTTTGAATGATTATAAGTTGATTTTACAGCTTGTCACATATGCATAGTTAATGCAGCTTATCACTACAACAAATACTGAAGAGTGCAGCGGTCGTTATCAGGTTAATGAACCTGACTGAACACTTAAAAACAGCATTTAATCACATGGGGTTTTAAGGTTTGAGCAAAATGTAAGTTTGATTGTACGTCTACATTCAAAAGCCCAACAACCACATCATGTGTTTCAGTTACTTAAAATATTCAATTCAATTCAGTTTATTTATACAGCCCCAAATCACAACAAAGTTGTCTCAGGGCACTTTACAGGAACATTCACATACATAAAAGCCAATTAGTAAAGTTCTCTATCTAAGGAATCAGCAGACAAGTTGAATCTTGGCTTCGTTGCAGTCTCCCATCCTGAGCAAGCACAGTGGCAACAGTGGAAAGGAAAAACTCCCTTTTAAAAGGAAGAAACCTCCAGCAGAACCAGGCTCAGGACAAGAGGCCATCTGCTTTGACCGGCTGGTTGAGAGGACAGGAAGGACAGACAGACAAACATAGAATAGTAGGTCCAGGTATAGGTCCAGGTGTATCTGAAAGACAAAAAAACACATGTTAAGGATAGACAAAATAATTACAAATACAAGACAGGTTGAGCAGAGTAAGTAAAGACAGTAGCAGAGTGAAAATTGTGGTCAGTTTGTCCTCCAGCAGTCTAAGCCTATAGCAGCATAACTAAGGGACAGCTCAGGAAACCCAAGCTGACCCTAACTATAGTTAGTAGGAGAGATCATATTTTTCCAGTTTTAGTTTCTCTCCATTGGCTCCCTGTCAAATCCAGAATAGAATTTAAAATCTTACTTCTAACCTAAAAGGTTCTCAACAACCTGGCTCCATCTTATATTGCAGATCTTATTGTTCCATATTTTCCTAACAGAGCACTTCGCTCTCAGACTGCAGGTTTACTTGTGGTTCCTAGAATTTTCAAAAACAGAATGGGAGGCAGATCTTTCAGTTATCAGGCTCCTCTCTTGTGGAACCAACTTTCAATCTCTGTCCGTGAGGCTGACACATTATCCAGTTTTAAAACTAGGCTCAAGACTTTCTTTTTTGTTAAATCCTCCGGTTAAGACTCTGGCAGCAGCATTTTGGATCAACTGAAGACGTTTTAAAGACTTATTTGGACATCCAGATAATAAACCATTGCAATAGTCCAGTCTAGACGTGACAAATGCATGGACCAGTTTTTCTGCATCATTTTTAGATAAGATGTTTCTAATTTTAGTGATATTACGCAGGTGGAAGAAGGCAGTTCTAGTAATGTTTTTAATGTGGGGGATAAAAGACATGTCCTGATCAAAAATAACACCAAGATTTTTAACATTAGAGCTGGAGGACAGATTAATGCTATCTAAGGAGGGAGAGAGACTGAAAAAATTATTCCTAAGGTGCTCAGGTCCAAAAACCACAACCTCAGTCTTGTCTATGTTCAACAGGAGAAAATTAAGGGTCATCCAGGATTTTATGTCTTTAAGACATGCTTGTAGTCTAAGTAGCTGATTGGATTCATTGGGTTTAATGGACAAATATAATTGTGTGTCATCAGCATAACAATGAAAATTTATCCCATGCTGTTTAATAACTTTACCTAATGGAAGCATATATAAAGTAAAGAGTACTGGCCCAAGCACTGAGCCCTGAGGAACTCCATGACTAACTTTGGTGTATGAAGAAGATTTATTATTTACATTTTCAAACTGGAATCTATCAGATAGATATGATTTAAACCATATCTAAAATATCTTTGCATAAGCTAAATATTTTGAGTTTAGCTTTATTCTTGTTGGTTGTAAATAACTGCAATACTGAATGTAAATTGTTGAACAAAAATAAAACATTTATGTAATTCCCACCCCCAATTTTATTTCTTTTGAATTTATTTAAGAAATTAGTGTTATTTTACCCAAGCAACAATCACAGGAACCTGCTCAGATGAGCCAGTGGAGCAGCGGATCCCCATTTTTTAAAGTGAGGGTGCAAACTTATGCATTTTATTTTAAACCTAAAGACGCTGTCTCTCCTGGAAAAAAGACAAAAGCATTACTAACATTTATTATTCTACTTTCTCTCTCTTACTTAACAAAACAGTTCATACTGGAAAGAATCGTTACAATCTAATCGTTACCGCCTAACTTTTAGTTGCTTCAATCCAATTCAGCTGAACATCCATCCATCCATCCATTTTCTTTACCCGCTTATTCCATTTTGGGTCACAGGGGTCGCTGGTGCCCATGTCCAGCAATCACTGTGCGAGGGGCGGGGTACACCCTGGACGGGTCGCAAGTCCATCACAGGGCCACATAGAGACAAACGAGACAAACAACCATTCACTCTCTCACTCACACCTAGGGACAATTTAGAGTTACCAATCAGCCTAACATGCATGTTTTTGGACTGTGGGAGGAAACCGGAGTACCCGGAGAAAACCCACGCATGCACGGAGAGAACATGCAAACTCCACCCAGAAAGGCCCCTGGACCGGGGTTTGAACCAGGGACCTGCTCGCTGAGAGGCAGCAGCTCTACCAGTTGCGCCACCGTGCTGCCCCTTCAGCTGAACACTGGTAGTCAATACCTCAGTGTGGAGAAGACTAAACTAAACTAAACTAAACTAAACTAAACTAAACAAAAGGATTATTTTATTGTCATCATCCAGAAGCGCATTGGAGATTTGAGTTTTTTGGGATAAATATGACCTAAATGTAAATTTTTTGTAAATGTCTACAGTTGGTTTCATATCAGAATAAATCTTGGCATTGTCTTGGTTAAAACAAAATGGTAAATAATTAATCTTAACAGGATTCAAACCTCAATTTTTTGCATAAAAGTGCATCGCAGTCCATCACAGCAACTAAACATGCACAAGGATCACCACCATTACTTGCTCTTATTCAGTCACCCTTCTCACATTCCCGACTCTGCTCCCCCATTAAATCACATAATAGAGCACCTATGGTAACTGTTACCTAACATTTTCCTTTTTTCTTTTATCTTTTTCTTTTTTCCTACTTTTTTATTCTTGCTTAGGGTGCAAGAGGTCCCGGGTGCAAACCTCGGACGAGCCCCCATTAATGTTACGACCCAGCTCAGACAGGAAAGGGGGAGGTAACATTAAAAGCAGGTGGAATGAGGATTTTAATTAAAGTAATGATTTATTTGGTCAGTTAACCAAAATTCAACAAAAATAGGTTACCTTCAAAGTACTAATTACCAAATATATTTTCCAACAATATTTTCTAACAAAGACACAAAATTAATGTTAAACAATAAAGTTTAGCCTTAAACAAAATTTATACAGAATCAAAACAGTTTGTGAACAAGTAAGCCTTCTGACTGTCTTCAGAAACTTACACCAACACTAACAAACAACTCCAACTGCATGAATTAACTCTTAGCCAAAGCCAAACATTTCAAGTCCAAAGGCACCCAGACAAAATGGCGAGCTGCTCTAAATAACAGCCGCCCTGAATGGCAGGAGAGCTGGGCTTAAATAGGTAGGCGTCTTCCATGGTTGGAGGAGCAGGAGGTGAATAAACCAACTAGGATGCAGATGGAGGTCCATTGAGGAGGGGTCAGGAGAAGCCAGCCAATCCCAGATGTGCCACAGCACAGCTGGGTCAGCAAACCAAATGCAACTTTAATGTCACTCAAACATATGAACTCAGGCCATAACAGTAACATAAATGGGTCAGATCAAAATAATTTAGTAGAACTTACTCAACTTTGCCACCTCTGTTCTTAATTTAACCAGACTGGCTAATTCAATTTAAACTTCCTCGTTGAATGAACCAACTTGTCTTTTGTCAAATTCATTGTTTTCAGGTTTGTAAGCTCAAAAATAATTGCATTCAATAAAACGGATATAGGCAAAACAAAGTAACTGTTCATAAAACAAGGTTAATTTCTGTTCCACTGAAATATGTGACTCACATAATGTGAATTCAAATAAATGTGGCATTATCCATGAAAAGAAAAATTAGTTGGGCTCACCCTATTAAAGTAAGATGAACAATTCAGCCTGAGTAAAAAAATAAAAACTGATTCAGCCCCGACACAGGTTAGATAAGAATAAATTACAACAACGTAATCGCTTCATCTAGAAAGAAAAGCAGAGAAAAAGCATTTTTCACGTTAAATTAAAAAGTTACTGTTTTGAATGTCTGTTTGAGCAGCTGCCCTTATTGATAGATTTATGGCTATGTATCAGTTATTTAGTTTTAATTCTGCCATTTATGGTGTCTATTAAGAAAGATAATCTTGAGAAGATTCCCACTGAATGCCTAAAGGGAGTTTAATTTTGTTAATCCATGTTGACTTATATGTTGTCATTGCTTTCTCTCTGTGGAACAGTGTGTGCTGTAATAAACGTTTGTCCTATTACTATAAAAAATGTTGGTCACTCAGTGTGAAGGATGTTGCCAGTATGCCTCTTGTGAGGAAAATGGATTAAAGTCTGTAGTTTAGCATCTATCAGAATGACGCTATCTGTTTCCCATTTTTATGCTTGACTAAAATAAAACCTACCACACGATCTCTGCCTTCCACTGTTACCTGATGCTGTTTTCTCTTTCTCCCATTAGCTGCTTACATCAGTGACTACATCAGCCCTGTTGTGTACGATAATGAGAGCGACGGTGGCATCAAGGTGCCCTCTCCTGATCCTCTCTACGACGGCATCCATAGTGACTATGGAGCTCCTGACTCAGAGTCTCCAGACAGCCCCGGCTCAGAAATCACAGATGGTTACATAAACGGTGATGCCGCGGTGAGCGAGGGATACACAGTCGATGCGTTCTTCATCACCGACGGCCGCTCGAGAAGGAAAGCCCTCGGCAGCCCCAGGAGCATCCAGAGGCACACCTGCAACGAGTGCGGCAAAACCTACGCCACGTCTTCCAACCTGAGCCGGCACAAACAGACACATCGCTCTCTGGACAGCAAGCTGGCAAAGAAATGTCCGACCTGCGGGAAGGTGTACGTGTCCATGCCCGCCATGGCCATGCACCTGCTCACGCACGACCTCAAGCACAAGTGCGACGTGTGCGGGAAAGCGTTCAGTCGACCGTGGCTCCTGCAGGGCCACATGCGGTCCCACACGGGCGAGAAGCCGTTCGGGTGTGCCCACTGCGGCAAGGCCTTTGCAGACCGCTCGAACCTGCGCGCCCACATGCAGACGCACTCGGCCTTCAAGCACTTCAAATGCAAACGCTGCAACAAGACCTTCGCGCTCAAGAGTTATCTGAACAAGCACTACGAGTCCGCCTGCTTCAAAGGCCCCTTCTCTCCCCTTGGCCCGCTAGATGCATGACAACCTCCCAAAAGATCAAACTGCAGAGATAAATTACCATTATCCTTAAAGACTAACTGCAAACAGTTTATTTTTGGTCAGAGTATGACCTTGCTTTCCCTCCTCACCCTCTTCCTTTCCTCTTTCCATCCCTTCCTCACCTCGCCTCTCCTGGGAGCCTTTTCACAACGATGAAGATAGCACAATTTTTCTTCTTGAGATTTTATGACTTAAGGATTTAACTGACCGACGCATGCACTTCCTCCAAAACAAAACAAAAACAAAACTCTTCACCTCTTCCTCCCCTGTCTGTTTGGGACAGGGGTGTTAATATTACCACAGCTTCCTTTTGGCAACTATAGCTATAGAATGACTGCGTATATTTTGGGACACTGATGATAAAAATGATGATTACAGAGACTATAGCAAACATATAGCTACTAGTTTTCTCCATGCACTGAAATGCAGTGAAATGGTTTTTCATTCTGATTTTGCTTATGTCAGGGAGGGGGTGAAATAATAGTAATAAGAATAGTAATAATATGATAATAATAATAATGATGATGCTCTGCTGCACCAAGTGACCATAATCTCTCCAATACTGAGGTAAAAATACTTTAATTTATTTTTATTTATTGAGTATTTTTTGTTGTTTTTGTGCATTTCTACCTGATTTGATCAAGCGATGCTGTTTGTTTTGCACTTTAAGTTCTGCAGTAAGTTTGTAGGATTTTTGCCAACCCCTTTTTACCACTACAGGCCAAAGCATATGTCACTTTTTTCTGTATTGTGTTTATTTCTATTATGTATTTATTTATTTTTTATCTTTTTATTTCTTATTCTTATTATTAATGCATGCAAAAAAAACCCAGTAATAATGAAACCTATGCCAACATCATAAAAAGCTTATGATTTTTGCCAAATTCCTATAGATAGAACCCGAGGGCAATATTGTTTTGTTTATTTTTGTCTCCTTCATGGGACTCTTTTAAAGCAATAATCACCTAATGCATGGTAATTTATGATGAAGTTATGAAGTATTACGTACTACTGTATAGCAGTTTACAAATCAGGTATGTTTTACTTCACCTATAGTCATAAACAGAAAAATACTAACGTTGAAGACATCAGGGAACTTGCCAATGTAGTGTTAGAATAACAAAAAGAAAAGCCCTGTCTTTTCCTATCTTGTTATGCACTGCCTGTCTCTTAGTGAGTAGAACTAATGTAGGATGTAGGCTAGAGAGGCTGGGATCTTCTGCCCACTGGGTGCGAGGCCTATTGTAGGATAATATTCACAACAGACATAGGCTAACTAATCTAAAATAAAAAAAAAAACAGAGGCGTTTTGGATTTTCAGTATTTCACTTTGATTTGTGCTTTTGTAAAACTTTTGAAACATTGAATTGGCGCTGAACTGTGTTGCAAACTTGTTCCCTGTCTCATGCTGTCAAATAATGTCCCATTTTATCGCCCGTGAGGTTTGCACAAACTGAAAGTGACAGGTAACATCAAACCCTCGATATGCTTTCCCAGGTAAAAGTTTGGTGCATTGCTGAAGTTGGACTCAGGTCAACTGCAACGCAATGCATTATTCAGCTCTCCCTCCAGAGCACTTCCACATAACATGTGCATTCTTCAGCCACGGCAGAGGCGTGCGCTCTGACTGGGTGGTCTAAGTACATTCCTGCTTCCATCCTGTTGCTGCATGAGACAGAGTCCGGATTATTCCACAGTAGGCCCCGTTCATCCCTGCTGGGCCAAAAATAGGCTTATATTTTGAGGGATATATCCACAGACAGGCTAACTCAAATCAACCTCGACCCCATCAGTGATTTAATGTAGGTGGTCTACAGCCGTGTTGCTGAAGCCAGTTCTCTGCAGCTCAGATTTTCTACAGATTCATGGAGCTTCACATGAGACAGACTGAAGACCGAACAGTTTCCCACAGAACATTAGGACGTTTTTATGCGCTTCTGTCGAGCGGCACGGCATGCATTTAACACTTGTTCAAATGATGGATGTGCACATGTGCATGCAAGCACACGGTGCCTGCCTAAGAGCCATTTGGGATCATAAAATCTGTCTGCCATCAAGCATTTGAAGTGGAAAAGTAATGGACAAAATAATTCTGATGTGAAGTTTTGATAATTACAGTGCTTCCTGACTCACACAGAGATGCAGACTGATCTTCAACACCATCGTGGGTTAGAAGAACTGATGGGATGAAAGATAAAAGCTGACTCGTTCCATAACTGACACTAATAAGAGATGAGTTACAGGGCTTGAATCTTGTCTGCAACAATCTTCCAGAGTTGAAAAGTCTACGACTTGAACAAACGTGTTGTTGTAAAGACAGTTTTTTATCAAACAAAAAGAAATGTAGCTCACATATTCATAAAACGAAAGCAGTTTTGTTATTTATGGGAAATCAGGATATGTGCCAGCAAATTTCAAGGTTTATGTTTCCATTGAAGCGTGAGTGATATTTAGACTGTAATTACTTGAACTGAAACAAATGATTAGCCATACAGCACTTGTTAGCGGATACATCACTTTTCTTTATTAATTGTAAGCCACATTGACAAAACTTGTACAAATTAGGCTAAACTGGCAATTAAGTGCTTAAAAGGCTCTTTTGAAGTGGGGTAAGTAAAAACATTAGGAACAGTTAATATCTTACCTGCAGTAGATAGCTCTTTGAGTGACCTCAATTTGGAGAAATAGTTTATTTTTGACGAGAAAAATAAGCAAATGGTTCGTTTGTATAGGACCAAGACCAAGGTGCATTCTCAAACTTTTTATAGTGGTACTGGTTTCATAACACACATTTAACGTTTTGTTTTATAACAGCAATATTCCCCTTTGGTCTTTGCTACTGTCAGACCAGCCATTAGCTCATCAATCTGGTCAAAATTAAACTCCAAACTGATGCTTCGACAGGTAAGATATTAACTCATCATAACCTAAACTTCACTTTAAAAGATCTAAACTATTGTTTTAAATGCAAATCGTTTACAGAAGTAAAAATAATTTGTAAGGTAAAGACCATTTAAAGCTGGGGAAAACCACTATCATAATTCTTAGCATGTTTGAAATAGATAAGTTCATGATAAAGTTGTAAAATAAGGAATTTAACAGCCATAAAAACATTTCCGCTAATTACAGCGTGGTGTGTCAACACAAACAGTATTATTGTGTACAAAAACTCCAGTTGTAAAAGTGCACTCCAAGCCAAATACCTTGCTGGTTTTTTTTTCTGTGTTTTTTTTTTTTGTATTGAGCTGTTGCGTGGCCGTTCACTGGTTTTCAAAGCAAGAGGAATGACCTTTGACCTTGTTTGACGACGTCTGTCTCATGGTGAGCTCCAGGTCTGGTCTCTTTAAGCACTTCCATTGTAGTCATCGCCACCTTAAAGAAAGTAGCACAATAAAAACTAACTAGAAATCAGGTAGAGAAGAATAAAAAAAACAACTTGTACTAGCTTGACCTCTCTTTTTCCTCTTTTGTATTTCCAAGAATGATGATAAACTAAAATAATTGTTTATTGCAAGAGGGTTTGTAAAGAATCCTTTGGACTGAGACGTTTTTACTGCTGTATATCTGACACACCTTATCTCAGGAGGTTTGGAGCTCTGGTCTAGAGTGAGGATCTCCTGTGGTTATTTATTTATTTATTTATTTATTTTTGAGCCAGTATTCAGACAATGTAAGCACAATGAACACAAAGCATTTTGTGGCACTTCATAATAAAGAATAATCTTAAACAACTAAGGTGATTTTGTCAAAGTTTTGTAATTTAACGGTAAATATAAGCTGCCTCTCCGTCATCGCACACAATGTGTTGTGCTGCTCTCTTGGAGGAGGTATTTAGATTGTTTCTTTTGTCTAAGTAGTTTTTAAAGTAATGTATGCTAATATGGTAAGTTTCAAGTCGGAGGAGTGTTCATTTACAGAACAGAAAAACACTTAGGCCAAACTAAACAGCTCTTACTTTGCTTTAGCTTTGTCAATATTGTCTGGTTAAAGAGGAGCTGAGCTGACATTAATTCACAGCGTGCTTGTTAGCATTCTGTAAGCTGCTTGCATGGTAAAACTGCAGTCTAATAATGCTTTAAAAGGACATTAAACTGATGGTCATTGAGGTAATGTTCCGAACTACTTGAAGCTCATTCTCAAGCACTTCTCGATACCATAATAACAGAAGAATCGATGCGTAAGTGGAGATGAAACATCCTCAGAAATATGTGGCGTCCCCCTTTTCCCATCTGAGGACAATTAACATTTTAAAGGTGAAGCCACATGTTCATATGTGTGAAACAGGAGGTGTGTTTTTTAAATTCTTTATAGATACCATATGGATAAATAGTATATCAGATCATTTAAATAAAACAATGTAAAGCTCAACAGACTGAAAGTTTTCTGACTTTTTGTGTTTTATATAGCGCTGCTTCAGGAGTTTGCCTCATTAATTCATTCTACTTACTCCCCTGCAAAAAAGTAGAAATTTTACAGTTACACCTAGGTATTATAAATATATGCCATCATATCTAAGATGATTGTCTCCCGAACTGACTTGTATGGATATTTTGGCATAAAAATTAATTTATTGGTCACAATGTTAACACTACTCATCCCGTTTCATATGTACAGTAAGCTTGCCTGGTTTGTCGGAGCATAAACACCAAATTTCAGACCTCTACAACTGATTCTTTGGGCCTGTGTGTCCACTGGATGTTATCAGATTGAGTTCTGGGATTTGAGTCATTGTTTTTCTTTCTTGTTTTACAGTTTTTAATGTGTGGTTGGGTGAATTGTCCTAGAGCAGACGTGGGCAACTTAAGGTCCGAGGGCCAAAAGTGGCACTTGAACAATCTCCATCAGACTCCTAATGTCCTTAGTTCAAAAGAAAACACTTTTTTTTTTAATAGATTGATACAAAAAAAACAGCAATTTATCAACAAGATTAAAGTGAATTTATATTAAACATTTTACGCAAAACTAAAAAAAAAAAGTTTTTGTCATTGTGTTTCCAGAACTAGACTGAACTTTAATGACAGAAACACAAATACATAAGTTTGTTTAGCATATTTCCACTAATTAACATGTATAATATATTGTCACAAGAGCCAGTTTACAGAATATGTCTTATTTCCCTAAAGGAAATTGGAAAGACGTGTTTTTAAAAGCACGCTAACTTTGCTACAATGCGAAAAAGTCTGAAAAAAAAAAGTTCTTCTAGATTATCAGCCATAATGAAAATTCTC